TCCGTGTAGAAAATGGACATAATCTGGCCCTCAAAAGTTTTTCGCTGGCTTCTCATCTACGCTGGAATTGGGCCCTCCCTTGTTACACATGAAAGTCTTGTTTGGAGTAGTTTTTCCTCCACCCCCTCAAAAGAAATCTCGTCATCAGCCGAGCCGTGTTGCGGAGTTGTATTTGGAGTGCACTGTCGCACCTTTCACAGAACCTCCTCCTGCATATTTGATCAAGACTAGCGAGTCGGCGGGCCGCGGTCCAAGCCCCCCCCCCCCACCTCCTTGGACGAATGTAATCATTTTCACTCGGCCTTTGGAAAGGGAACGGCGCGGAGAAAAGACTAGATTGACAGATGTGAGCTTTATTCACCCGCTTGCTTTGAACCATCTCCAATGTTGTCTGCGCGCATTGCAGGTGCTAAAGAGATTGATATTGCGGCTACCCTGGAGCACTTGAGAGACCAGAGAGCCGGCATGGTCCACACAAAGGTAAGGAGCTCCCCTCACCCCCCACGCCCCCCACCCCACACCCGCCTTTCATCTTGAAGGGGGTTGCGTCTGTTTATTGGGGCGGTGAGTTGAAAAGAAAGCACTTCACTATTGTTTGCCAACTTCACCATCCAGAAAGTTTGATTGCATGCCGGCGACAAATTTATTTGGAGCTGTACAATAGACCAAATCTGAACTCTGACAAAAAGAAAAGGTGCCAACACGTGATCATTGATAAAAGTCGGTGTTGGAACTGGTGTAATTTTATGGCAAAAAGTTGCAGCATGCAATAGAAGAATAAAGTTGTTATTGAATGACAACGATTCAGTGGGGGATGGGCTGGCCCACTTTTGGGTGAAAGTCAGCGTATAACTTGACACCCACTGAAATGCATGGGGGGAATATATTTTTAAAAATTAAACCCAAAATGTTGACAAAATATGTTAAAAAAAGACATGAAAGGCACATTCCTTATAAAAGGAGAAAATTTGAGCTAAGGGCAAAAAGAGAAATCCAAGAATATATACTACAAAATATGTTAAAAAAGACATGAAAGGCACATTCCTTAAAAAAGGAGAAAAATGGAGCTAAGGGCAAAAAGAGAAATCCAAGAATATATATATTTTTTGTCATTAAATAATAAAACTCTAATGATCTGGGCGTGCGCAACAGTGCGGGGGTCGACTGTCAAATTGAAATTTTACTGGACAAAAGTTCTTTTACGAATAAGAATAAAATGACCAAAAAAACTGATTCTATGACCAAAAAAAAGTCTGAATTTCACAAAAAATTATGTACTATATTAATAATAGTTTTTCAAGAATAATGGTAGAACCTTTATTTTAGGAGAATACATTTCTAATGTTATGAGAGTGAGAGTACATTTGTAATTTTGAATTCAAAATTTGAATTCAAAAGATGAATTTTTATTTTATTTCATTTATTTTTTCATATAATTTGATTTGTGACAAGGGAACGTTGTGACAATGGTCCACATTTTACAAGAATAAAGTTGCAATTTCAAAACGGTGATAAAATATGTTATCATTTAATGACAATAAATTTGGGACCTTTTGCCCCCCCAAAAAAACAAACCAAAAAAAAAAACCAGCCGTCATTTCAGACAGTTTCATGTCTCACCATAAACCTTGGAAGATGAGTCCATCCATGAGGAGAGCAACCAAAAAAAGTCAAGAAGATGTCTGACAAGACACCTGTAGTCTGCCATTTTGGTCTGAAGCAGCCATTTTCCACTCATTAGCAGTCGGCCATTTTACAGGGCTCCTTGAAAGAAAATGTCGCCTCTGAAGCCACTTCTCACTCAGCAACATGAAATTTGCTCGCTCTGTGGCGAGTAGTCACAAAAAAAAGTCGCAACAAGCTTTGTCTGAAATGCAAGTCGGTCATTTTGGTGTGACTGCGACAGATTTTGGCCGTTTGCTCCCAAATTGGAACCACATATACTCGGGCGAGAGTGAGACTCAAAACTGCGACCCTCCTCCCAAACAGACTTTTAAAAGCCCCAAAATCCAGGCAGGGACAGACGGATACATATTTCTGACATCACACAACTTAAAAAAAAAAAAAAAAAATCTGATGGGCCACCGGCAGCTCTCGCGTATTGATCAAATTTTTCTTCAGGCCTTGCTGTGTGTTGACACATCAACTCCTACGCTCCTCCTCTCTCTCTCTCTCTCTTGTTGGCCCTGAGCCTGGGGAGAAGAGTGTAAAAACAGCAGCGGCAGCTCTGTGGAGGAAAACATCAATCACGCTGTTCCTTTGCTCACCTGCGTGGCTAGAAATACTTTGCTACTGTACTTTTCAGAGTCTGGACTTTATGAATTCTACTCGTACCTCTCTCTCTCTCCTCTATATGTGTGTGTGTGTGTGTGTGTGTGTGTGTGTGTGTGTGTGTGTGTGTGTGTGTGTGTGTGTGTGCTTACATCACAAATGTTGCCGCCTCTTGTTGTCCCGCAGGAGCAGTTTGAGTTCGCGCTGACAGCCGTGGCCGAGGAGGTGAACGCCATCCTCAAAGCGATGCCTCAGTGAAGGCCACGCACCTCCTCTCTCTCTCTCTCTTTCTCATTATATATATATCTACACACATACATGTGCACACACGCTCCCGTTAAGTGTGTCGGGCAAGTCTTCCAGTGGCCAAAGATGGCGTTCGGGTACATCCAGTTTGTCCAGGGCGTGAATTGATAGGACGCCCCAGTCGGGTTATAAGTGAATCGATGAGTCGTTCAATGCAAAGCATGTCTGTTTCGCTGCAAAAACAGAAGGGTTTTTTTTCCTCCCCAAAGACTTAAAATTGTATTAAAACATTTTTTTTGGCAAGATAAAATTGTGTTTATTGAAAAAAAAAAAAACAACGTTTACGATTATGCAGGAATAAAATCAATCCAATTTTGCTCCCCCCTCACTTTTTTCTTGCTTATTTTTCCTTCTCTTTCGGATAAATATTTCAGAATAAATTATGTGAAAATAACAATGTAATGAGAAATGTATTTTTACGACAACATATTTTTCCCGTGAAAATTGAGTTATATGTTACAGCAAAAGAACGTGCGTTTACAAAAATTGTGATTATTTTCTTACAAATTTTCAATAACATTCTTATTTTTCAGACTATTTTGAGTTTACTTTTATTTTTCTGAAAATATATGTGTTTACACATTGAATGAGACGAAAGTAATATTCATTTTTTATGTATTTTTACAAGAATAAATAAATTTATTTTTTTTCTTGCAGAAAAAAATTCCATATTTTAGAATAATTAATTAAACATCGAGAACAAAGTTCTAGTGTTCCAATACAAATGTAACATGATCCAAATCATGTCAGACTATTGTATGAATAAAATGTGAATTATTTTTTGAGAAATAGTAAGTTTATGACGGTAAAAAATGGAACAGCAGTGATTCATCTCAATCATTTTACAAAGGTTTCTTCGCCGTGATTGGTTTTAAACACACAAAAAAAAAGTCCCGAAGACATGTTTTTCATAGAACAGCGGCTCCGTGATTGCGCAATACAGACGTACCTGAACGTTCTGTTCTTCGTGCCACTGGCCAGCTTTGACATCACGTCCTGGTGAAGAATTGCAGAGAAATCCACTTTGGTGATTCTGTACACTTGACTGAAATATTGCCCGAGCGATCCCACTGACGAAGGTGCCGTCATTTTGGAACAATTAAAGCAAAGAGAAAATATGTCATCACTCCAAGTGAGCAAAATCTGTGTTTACGAAAGTAGTCTCTGTTGCTTAAATGACTCATATGACTGCTTTACTGCTTTATTTTATTTTCCTTGTAACTTTTCCAAATCATTTTTTTCTTTTCAGTGCTTCCCCAACCCCCCCCCAAAAACCTCCAATATCGCCCTCCTATTTGCCAACTGTGCACATGAATATCGACATGCTAAAAAGTTCACTCGCAATGATACGGCATCACTCATTGACAGACACCACATGGCCGCGAATACTAAAAATAACTAAAAGTAGTGTCTTGCCCTCTTACTATCTCGCTAGGAAGTGTTCCATCTATTTACCGAGAATGTGTGCTAGCATCGTGGTTGCTGTGCGGTGATCCCTCACTTAATCGCGGTTCATAGAGACCGGAGTGTATGTGGGTATCAGCATGATTAAAATATGTAAACAGTATTTATACTTGACATATTTGAGACAAAGACGACAGCAGTAAACGTATTTATTTAAATCTTGAATTATAAAACCTTATACAGTAATTAACAATGGTCAGCATTCCTTCTGAGAAGAGGCTTTTATTTTGGTGCCGTAGAAGATGGCTCTCACTTGACACTGGCCGCCGTTAGCCTCCAGCTAGCAGCTAGCTGGAGGCTAACTAGCTAGCTGCTAGCTCCTGGCCAGCTTTCCCCACGTAGCCGATGTGTTTATGATAAGACAAATAATCGGTATTGAGGAGGAGAAGGCGAAGAGCGAATTGCTGCTGCCAAATCGAAATCGTGCTATCATTGGTCAACGTCGCACCGGGAACCAATCATGCGCCTTGAATGAGTGCCCGTTGCCTATTCAGTACATTACAGTCATGTACAAAACCTCTGAGTCATTTGGATTTTTATTTTTTTTTCTGAATACAGTACTTTGGAAAAAAAATGTACCAAAGCCGCAATAAATGAACCGCGATATAGCGAGGGATCACTGTATTCATGTATCATGGGTACATTGTGATATGTTGCGCAACATGACTTCCTCTTCCAGAGTGACTCCGTGACATTTTTCTGTCTCCACAGTAACTTTCACTGATAATAAAGATAATTGCAATCCATGCTCTTTTGTCTTTTTACTAATCGCGCACATTGTGAGAAAAGACAACAGGTTGTTTTTTTTTTTTGTTTTTGTTTTTTTTGTTTTTTTGTGAGAGTACCTATCTTTGACTTTACCGGAGTGTCCACTCTGCACTCATATATTGGTGTTCAAAAAAACTGTGATTGGCTGGCGACTAGTTCAGGTTGTTCGCTGCCTCCCGTCCAAAGTCCGCTGGGACAGGCTCCAGTTTACCCGCGAACCGACTGAGGACAATACCAAAGAAATGAATGAATGGAAGTAAAAACAAAACAACCTTTTTCAAATCATACGCTTCAGACAAATAAAATCAATTTTCAGTTAAAAGCGTTTAAATGCCACCTCGGGGGAAAAATAATACAGCAACGACAGCCGTTTTGTTAACTTCCAGTCAACCGGCTCAAGAGCGGACTAGTTGGCACGGCTTTCGGAGAAGGGGCGTGTGGCATAAGGTCATAAGCAGCTCCCAAGAGCTTGTTAACATTCCGGTGTCAGGGGCCCGGAGTGGCTTCCCTAATAAGGGTCCTTCCGTCTTTGTGGGCGGGGCCAGGCAGAACAATAGGCCGACGGACCGGTCAAGTGACAAGTATACGGCGCGAGGGGCTGTACATCACTCAAGGAGCAAACATGGCACTACGTTCGATATCCATCCATCCATTTTCCGATCCGCTTTATCCTCACAAGGGTCGCGGGGGGTGCTGGAGCCTATCCCAGCCATCTTTGGGCAGTAGGCGGGGGACACCCTGAACCGGTTGCCAGCCAATCGAAAGGCACACAGAGACGAACAACCATCCGCGCTCACACTCACACCTAGGGAAAATTTTGAGTGTTCAATCAGCCCGCCATGCATGTTTTTTGGAATGTGGGAGGAAACCGGAGTACCCGAAGAAAACCCACGCAGCCACGGGGAGAACATGCAAACTCCACACAGGAAGGCCGGAGCCGGGATCGAACTCACGACCTCTGCACTGTGAGGTCAACGCGCTACCGCGTGCGATAGCAATAAGAAAATAAAGACATGAAAAAGGAACCTTAAAAGCGCATGTAGAATGTTCCCTCCCTACTTTGCGGTTCGGTTGTCACGGATTTACTCTATCGCAGATTTTCGTTTGTGACCATGACTTGATGTATTGCTACTCTGCCACTCGATCCTGCCATTTTTTTCCTGCTAAGTTGGACCAGTCAAAAAATTTAGGGGAAATTTGTTTTCACAAAAACTGAGATCATGAAAATTAGACAGCTTGGCATTTATTCTACATTCTACATTTTAAGTTATATTTCTGAAGTGTAACAAAAATTCTCACACACACACACACACACACACACACACACCAATCCTGTTACTACCTCTGAAAGCAAAAATTCAACCATGTTCCATTACATTTGGCTTTTACAAGCAGCATCAAAGCGGCTCCTATCAGTGTTGTTCATCTTTGACAGAGGAGGTCTTGTCTGATTTGATGCTATCACCTGCCTCGCTTTGTCCTCTGTCCTCGTCCCTTGCCAATCATAAACATCAAACTCATTAATTCAAAATTGGAAGCAGACTCAACACTTGGTTGTTAAGCAGTCAAATGGCCAGAGCGGCATCCGACAACAAAACAAGCGATGCTGAGACTGAAGAGACAAAACGGCACAAAGGGAATGACAACTGCCATCCAGGCCACGAGTATCATCGTGGCTGAAGTCAAAAGGATGCGCCGAGGTAAATCAACCCTGAAAAAAAGGCCTGCACACTTGGAAAAAATAAATAAATAACAGGCCTAACCGACACAACATAAACCCTAAAATAATACCATTAGCACCTAAAGCTAACCCTAACACTAAATGTAAAACAATAGCTATAATGCTAACCACAACCATACTCAAAACCTAACCAGAACCTTAACATACTGCCTTCATGATAATCCCTGACTTTTATTTTGAAAGTAGCCATAATCCTTCACCATAATCCCCATCCAGAGCATTAACATATTCTGAAACCATAAACAGAACTTTTACCAAAACCAAAATCATAAAATGAACTACCATTCCTTAAACACAATCCTCAGAAGCACCCTAATCCCGAGCCATAACTAATTTGAGATCAATCATGACAGTTGAAGAATATGTTTGATCCCGATGGATAAAGACATTTAAAAAAAAATACTGCAGATAAAATTGATAACGTGTCCATGCACCACTCACAGGATTTGCACAAAGATGAACACACATACACACAAAGGTGGCGGGCTGTGTTGCCATGGCTCCCTCTGTGCTACAATTGAGAAGTGTTCATCTGTTACCATGGCAACATACTAGCATGCACAAAATCAGGAGGTCATATCAAAGCTTTATCGAGTCATATTAATCTGTGGTGATTAAAATGTATTTTTTTCAATCAAGATTTTAATGTGTTAACTGATTGTACTCTATACATTTCTGGCATCAAATAAAAATCCTAAACTTAGAGGGAAAAAAAAACTTCTTAAACGTAGATCTTACGTTTTAGATTCCGTTCTTCCTGCTTTTTTTCCCCCTCCCTCCCATTTCTTATTTGTATGTGCTCACCTGAGGCAGATCCCTGTGATGTGTCTGAAATCATTTTCATGCACTCGGCCACAAACTGTGAGAAGTTTGTTTGAAGTGCATGGAACCAAAACATATTCCGTGCCGCAGGACTCTGTTTAAAACGCTGACTACCTGGGCCCGTTCGGAACTGAAGGTTAGCAACGAGGACATCATCGTGGGTTACTAAATGGAGTAAAGACGAATGCATTTTTTTTTGGGGGGGGGGGGTACCTGTGATGACAAAATATAGGGAAAAAATAAGATGTGTGAAATGTACAGTGTAACCCCCACATTTGTCTTTGAAAATTTAGAGAACGATTGAGAAGTGTATCGAAAGTGTGATACAGTATGTAAGCTTTATTTTGAAAATTTGAACCTTTTGAAAAACGTTGTTAACAGTTTAACAACATTTTTCAAAATGCAAAAGGCACTAAACATGCCCGAATA